GTGGGGGGGGGGTGGCGGTGTCTGGATTTTGGGTTCTATTTATTGCATTTATGATTCAATGCAATAAAATAAACAAATTTAAAAGGCAACTTGTGGTACTTGGTTTATTTACATAAAGTCTTTAATCGCTGGATGTCCGGCCTCTGAGCTACTGACTTTCAGAAACTGTGGCCCCCTGCGCAGTTTAGTTGAATAGCCTGGCACTTAGGCCTGTCACGATAACAAAGTTTGCTGGGCGATTAATCAGCTCAGAAATTATTGTGATAACCATGTGGCCCTGTGATGGACTTGCGACCTGCCCAGGGTGTACCCCACCCCTCGCACAGTGATTGCTGGACATGGACATCGGCGAGCGGGTAAAAGATAATGGATGGATGGATGGACAGACGATAATATTGTTTGAAATTTGACAATAATTAGTAATTTTGTCAAATTTAAGAAGAAATGTTTGTCAATTTGTTTTGAGTGTAGTACCGTTTTTGACCACTGGATGACAGTAAAACACTATTTGAACTGAAGGATGGATAGTGAGGGAGCGAGCAGTGTGTCTCTAAGAAATATGGGAGGGTGGCCCCTTGACGTGACATGGGCTGTCTCGCTTTCCTTTTTTCAGTTCTCGAAATGGCGGACGCTCGTTGTGGTTTGAGCTCTTTAGCATAGCATTTTTCACACAAAGCTTTAAAAAAATAAAAATAAAAAAAATAATAAAAAAATCTGTAAACAAGTTCTGTTTCTTTTTGCGGAGAAAAACAACTTTTACACGAAGGCACGGGTTTTAACTATGAATTTTAAAGCTTCGACAAGACGGAGGTTTCTTCCCGAGGTTGGCCTGTTAGTTTAGCTCATAGCTTAAAATCTCAGCTTAGCTGCTTTTAACGATCCAAAAACACAATTTTAGAGGGTTAAAATGGATTTTAAAGAGAAAGAGAGGGGTCAGTGAAGAGCACCGGAGTTGAGCTTTTTGTCATCCAGTGTCTTCAGAAAGAGAGAGACATGAAGAAATGATAAAGCCGGTAAATGAAAATGAGTTTGATAATTTAATTTATCATGTGATTAATTGATTAATTGATTTATTGTTTATCGTGACAGGCCTATCTGTACTAAACCTTGAAACAAGAAATTTACCCAAAACATACAGCCAAAGTGGCAAAAAAATATTTAGGCCGAATCTCATTCAGAGTTTGAAGGAAACAGGCAGAAGCTCAAAGACCTGAAGATTATCTCAGTAAAATTAAGGGAAACTCTGCAAAACTCTTGTAAGCAACTATATGAATTAAAAACTGGAAAACAAAAAATGTTCCACTAATAAAGTTGTGGCGTTTGTATTTAAAAATAAAATACTACTAAAAATAAAGAATTTCAATACAATTTTTTAGCACCAACTCCTAATGGAAGAAAAAAAATATTAGAATTAATCTAGTTCTTAAAAAGTTTTGAGGTCACCTGTCAAAGTGTTGGAAATACGAGACTTTACGTGCAGCGGTGTTAAAAGTTCAGTAATGCAAAATAATCACTTGGAAAGCACGTGGTGCCATGCATGTCATGCAACGGATAGTTAACGATGTCTGCAGACAGACAGACAGACCTGGGCACAGCTGTTTACAAGTGTGAAAATACAGTGTTTGTAGTGAAGTACATGAGAGGATTACTCTATTGTTTAGTGTTTGTGAACGTGGCTCAAGACATGGAGACGGACAGAAAGAGCTGTGAGCTGAGCTGGGCACATGAACACAAACCAGAGTGTGAAAGATGCTCCATTGTAGTATGCAGAGTTACCTGATGTAGTTTCATCCATCCGTCAAAACCAGGAAGCTTCAGAGCCAAACACTTACACAAACTGTGCACAGGACTGAAAATCAAACTAGCTCTTTAAGAGAAGTATCGCTCCCCCGCTCGCCCACTGCCTACCGTGATTATTAACAGATTGTGTTTGAAAACATGAAAAGATTTAGCATTCAGACTTTTATACTAAAATCATGTCATGTTTTGTTAATTTGGTGATGCAAATGCAGTGCAAAAAGTAAAATAAATTATTCAGGAAAAGGCTGCAACATGCAGATCTACACGAGTGCAAAGAGGATAAAATGCAAAAAAGAGAATCTGCCTTGTGATTTGTCGTCGTGGTTACAGGCTTGTAAAGCAGCTGATCGGGATCCCTGTGGGTGTCAACTTTCACACTCGAGCTAAAAAAAAAAGCCAGTGCTCGGTTTACAGTGCTCCACCCGCCACCCCGCCCCGCATGCACTGAGGGGTGTGTGTGAGTGCAAGTGAGCGTGTGCGACGCTGCCTATGAAACCGTGTTCTGTATTTGTGGGTATGATCACCAGAGTGTGCTAGAGACTGTGTCCTCCTACTTGTCTTAACTGATCCTCGTCTTATGGTGTGCGCTTTCAGCCTAAGCAGCTCTAGCCAGGTGCTGCATCTGTCTGCAAAGGAACTGTAATCAACGGAGGCAGCTGGAGAAAACACACATACACACACACACCAGTCCGCACACAACCCACACCCGAAAAACACACAAACGCAAGACCAAGAAAAAAAAAAGAGAACAAACATGAGACACACAAAAAAATAATAAAAGAAAAGAACAAAAACTGAATGAGGTTGGAGAACGGTTCAAGATAACAGACACAAAGTATGAAAAGTCAAAACAAGACAGTGTAGTTGTTTCGATGGCAGGGAGGTGGGGGCGGATACAACAACAAGGTGGGGGCTTACCTCTAGCTGAAACACTGGTATTCTCGGGGACACCTGTTTCACACACACAAACATTATGATCTACTTCTACATTTGGCAGGAGAACAGGAAACATCAGCATGAATGTTTTCCACAAAGCTAACTCGGCTCGCTCGTTATTTCCAAACATCAACTCTAAGTGATCTGTACGGGAAAAGCCTCATCTCCATCTGGAAAGGAAGCCACGCTGAATCAAGAGCATGACATCTACGATCATCTACTACCACAACGAAACTAGAAACGGTGGTACACAGCACGCCACCGCGGATTTACCTGCGGAGTGAACCATTACCAGCTGACTTTGGAAGAGTTTTGCAGCTGGGGTGAATAAAGAGACTGTCCCTGAGGTGTTAGTGGAGGACATGGGCAAGGCTTGTTAGTGAAGCACGGTGTAGGAGGAGGGGTTGAGTAATGAAAGTGTTAAAAAGAAGATGAAAACTTACCTGAAATTTTGGAAAATGGTTGAGAGCTGGTAGATGAGTCGGCACACAACTCTAAAGGAAACTGCAGCTGCTCTTCAGTCTCACTGCCACCTGAGACCACAAGTGAACACACCGTCAAACACCATTCTGATCTCTAACAGATACATACAAGCTTAGAAAATAAATGATAATGCTCAGAGTAACTTAAATGTTTCATCGGTTTTCTGTTTTTGAACGTCACTTTATACATCCAAAAAAGTTCAATCTGGTCCTCTGGACATTCAAAAATTTTTTTTTTTTTTTTTTATGTCCAGAGGACCAGATTGAACTTTTTTGGATTTTTCTACCTGGATTATTGAGCATGCATCAGGTCACTTTATACAGTTGACTATCAATGGCAGGACTTTTGGGCTGTTTTAACTGTTTTGAAGCTTTGATGCCATTCCTTGTTAATTCTTAATAAAAGACCCAACAAAGTTAAGTCAGGTCGTCTGGATGGTTTCTTTTTATTTTTGATGAGACGTTTCATCCTTCATCCAAAAGACTTCATCAGTCCAAAGAGCCACAGCAAACTTGAGTCCCACAACCAGCACACTCACATAGTGGACCAACCAGTTTGCTGGTGATAAGATGGATTATTGAGCATGAATTTTGATGTTTTGAACCACTTTAGCTATGGCTGCCTCAGAGGAGTTGACAGGGGAGAAGGCGGGCCCCAGAAACCATTTTATCATCAGCAAACTGGTTCCACTATGTGAGTGTGCTGCTTGTGGGACTCAAGTTTGTTGTGGCTCCTTGGACTGATGAAGTCCTTTGGACGAAGGACAAAACGTCTCAAAAAACAAACAAAAAAAAATAACATCCGAATGACCTGACTGAACTTTGTTGGATTTTTTACCTGGATTATTGAGCATGAACTTTGATGTCTTAATAAAATACTTCTTGACAAGTTTTGAGCAGTGAGTCAAAAGTGATCATTGCAGTTCAAAGATTGCAGCTGAAGAAGAAACGATACACGAGATGGCTTGGAATGTGCAACATAAAATTGAATAGTTTTCCACATTATTTTAATAAATAAGGAAGGTTACAGTAATGTCTTTTGTGGGCATGCCTCTTATTATTTAACAAAAAGAGCTAATGTATATTGTTGCTTTGACAAAGCTAGACCATGTCATGAGCATCAGCTTTCATTTTTATGCTGATGATTGTCAAGATTTACTTTCCTCTGAAGCACACTGGTTCATGCTCTGTCCAACCTCTCCTTGACTGACTGGTTGACTTCAGGGACTGGATGGCTTTAAATTTCTTAAATTTTAATGAGAAGACAGTTTTGTTGTTTCCTCCTAATGGCACAATCAGGAACTCCTCCATTGATCTTTCCTCTCTAGTCCCATTAGAGAAATAAGAGGTCACTAATCTGGGAGTGAAAATGGACCTTTCATGACACTAAAGCGTCACGTAAACACGATTGTTCAATCCTGCTTTTTTTAGCTGGGGCGACTGTCTAAATTGAAACCCATACTGTCCAAAAGTAACCTTGAGACAGTAATACAAGCTTTCATCACTTCCAGGCTTGATTACTGCAAAGTGTTTCTGTTTGGAATCAGTCAGATTTCTATTTCTTGTTTGTAGCTGGTTCAAAATGCTGCAGCCTGAATTTTAACTGGTACAGGTAAAAGAGAGTGCATTACTCCGGGTTTGGCTTCCCTTCCCAGTTCACTTCTGAAAACATTTTAAAATCCTTTGGTATGTTTTTAAATCCCTGAACAGTTCTGCCCCTCTTATCTCTCTGATCTGCTGCAGCCATATGTCCCACAGCGCTCTCCGAGGTCAGATCAGATGCTTTCATTGGTTCCATGCACAGACATGATAGAGCCTTCTCAGGTGCAGGTCCAAGACTGTGGAATGAGTTGCCACAGCATGTCAGGCAGGCTCACTTGCTTACTGTTTTTAAGTCTCGTTTAAAAACACACTTATTCCATGGCCTTCAATCCAGTGCGAGTTGATCTTAACTTCTGTGTTTTTATTATTATAGTCATTCTAATTGTTTTTTTTTGGTTTGTTTGTTTTACCTCTGTAGATTTATGCATTTTATCCTGTGTCCTTTGCTTGTTTGTTTTATTGTACAGCACTTTGGTTGGCCTTGCTGCTGTTTTTAAGTGTTTTATAAACAAAGTGGTACGGTATGATAATTTTTAACTTGAACAAATAAAAAAATGACTTAAGCAGAAGGACCTTTTGTGACGGACTTCTCAAACAGCTTTTCCTGATTCTGGTCTTTGTCAAACGTCATGGCAACTGCGGTCACCGAGACCTGGTGGTGGTGATGGTGGTGGTGGGGGGGAGACACAAAAATATCAATATTTTTTACCAACAGTTATGTTTACAAGGTTTGAGTTGACCAGCAGCTCACCTGAACAAGCTCTTCTTCAGGCACTGCTACAGTGAAGTTGAGATGAGAAAGACAGCAGGGAACCATGGAGCGCAACTTGAAGTAAAAGCTCTGAAACAAATACGAGAGGAGCACAGAGTTTCAAAACTACTTTAAAAAAAAAAAAACACATGCGTAGGTCTAGATAATAAATATTGCTTACCTTTAGCAGATTCTCACAAAGATCAGTGAATATCTTGTTTAAGCCTTGGTTAGTTAGATTGGTATTGCTCAGCCTAAGGACTCTAACTGATGTAAACATCTGTAACACATCAGTAAAATGACAGTTTAAACTTATAAAATGGCTACGACACTGTCCAGGTATGTTTGAACTGCATTTGCACCTGTACTCCTGAAGTCCAGTTATAAATCCCAGGCATCGTCTCAGTGTTGCAGCTGTGGAAACCTGAAAACGTCAAATTAAAGTTGAAGCTTTAACTGTCAAGGAAAATGCACAGTACATTATATAATGTAGCTGCTATATAAATTATTAGAATCAACCTGAAGGTGGAGAGGCATCGGTGAGAAGAGAGTGGATATCCTCCACAGCGTCAGTGTCGTCAATCTATGTGAAATACAACCAATAGTAGCAGAGTTTTAACAGAGATGAAAGCAAACAGGTGGGTAGATTTGTGTGTATGCACACCTCCAAGACGAAGGCATCTTTTTTGCCATGAGACAGATCTAGCTCTGAGACTTCATCTGAGCTTTCTGAGTGGGAGCGGAAAAGTCTGGACCGCTGCCTCGGCTCGGGGATCGGAGAACCCACTCCTTCCTCTGTCAGCTCCTGCAAGCAAAGAGACTACTGAAGCAGTCCACATCTGTCCAGACTTAACAGGCAGTAAAATCACTACGTTAGCAGCACGCTCATATTCGCCATGTGCAACTTTACTGAAACAAACACAGACTATGTAAGTAAGGCAGGTGTAACTCTGCAGATTAGATCAATATTTCATAAGAATCGTTCACTTGGTGTGATACAAGCATCAAATTTGGCATGAATAATGGCTAAGACCTACGTTTTCATGAAATCACCTAAGCCATCTGGAAAAAACAAGATGGCGGACACTTTTCAAGGTGACCGCCATTTCGGATGTGAAAATTGCTTTATTTCTATTTCAATTTGAATGTCTCAACTGTTGCAACAGTTAAATGTTGCATGGAAAAAGTCAGGGGTACCACTGCATACCTGAGCAGGTGCCTGGTAATACTGTGGACCAGCCCATTTATGCACTTGCTAAACAAGTGCAGTGTCAATGGCCTGAACAGTTTAGAATGGACAAATTTGTCACCATGTTTGGAGGGCTCTACATAGAGAGGTCCTTGGGCACATTGCTAAAAGGCAGGTACTCTGGAAAAGGTTGGCGTGGCTTGGGACAGCCGAGTCTTTTCTTTTTGCCTCAAACACTACAAGAACCTGCCTGTTGCATGTCCCTGTGTCGACCAGATCACAGAATACTGCCTTGTATATACTTTACGCTTTAAAGAAGATTATGGATATTATTCAAACAAAGTCAGTGATGGAGCCCAGGTTCTTTTAAGTTTTGAGGATTAGTGTGAGAAACACAATGTAGAAAGTCCACAATTTCAGCTCTGGGAATTTGTGATATTATTGCAGTAGGTGATGCTCTCCTTGATCAGGTCATTCAGAGAGACTAATTTAACTTTGTACAGTCAAACACGGTCTGTACTCATCCTCTACTTCTTTGCAAATAATGTAAATTGCGCTCTCAATGGCAGGCTGTGTGTATTCAGTCAAAATTCATTCAATATTTTGAGTGATAATGCCATTTTCATGTTGCAATCTCAGAAGACATTAAAATCCCTTATTGATAAGTTATAATATTTATATACTTTTACAGCTGGATTATCATTTTTTTTTATATTTGACTTTTTGATCCTATAATTGAATTTAGCATGCCCAAAAGCCTATGTTCTGATGCAAAGATTGGGAAATTTGAACGATTCAATCTCAATTTGAGTAAAAAAAAAAAAAAAAAAAATCAAAAAAATGGTTTATGAAGGCGGCTGTCTTGAAAAATGATGGTCATATTGTTTTTCCATGTGGAGATCCAGGAGATTTGTTCCAAATGTCATCCTCGTATCACCAAGCAAAAGATTGTTTCACTAATCTGCAGCACAGGTGAGAATGAAAAAAGGTTGAGTAGATGGTTATACTATAAATACGGTATGTTAGAGATCCGTCTTGTTGTGAGCTGTTACACAGTTACAGCAAAGGTGGCCTAGACCTGGGATTAATTAAGTGAAAATTCTGCCATGCTTTGTTGTGTCTCACAGCTAACATCTGGCATGCTCAGTACCATGTTTGTGCCGCAGAACGCCTCTGGGTCCAGGGCAAATAATTTCTTGGATGATGGGAAAGAAACAAGAGGAGTAAATTTACCGTGATTTGAAAAGATCTGTGCACATAGTCTAAGCAAGCAGTCAAACAGCTACTTCGAAGGGTTTTTAGGACGGTGCAAGAGCTGCAGTCTTTGAAGTTTTGGTCATAAAGTCTTCTTAACTTGATGTGCACTCACAAAGGCTATTCAGGTCATTTGTGTAAAGTTTTCTTGTTAAAGAAGCTGTGATGTTTTCCAGCAAACTGCAGACTTTGGATATTTGCATGTGCATCGTTCAAAACTTTATTATTATACTCCAACTTGAACCATCAACTACTGGAATTCAACTCCACCTTCATCTAAATGGCAACTCTTAACACTCAACTTTGTTATACAGCAAGAGCCTGCAGTCTGAACAGTGTACTAGTAGAAACTAAAGTCAACGTTACAACAATATTGTTTTGTAAAAAAAAAAAAATGCATCAATTACTGAAATAAAACTAAAAATTTTGAATGACGCAAAGTATTTTCAGATTAACAGCCATTTTTTCAAGTTGTTTCTAATCTGTCATTAGAAGACTGAAAATAAATGAATGTATGCAGTTTAGAAGTGGGAGAAACTATTTTTTTATTTGAATATGTAGAACGCAATGAGATTTTTGCTTCACAGTAAAACCTCAAGTTGCATATCTCACCGGAGGGTTTATTTGGTAGAGCTCTTTGTTCTTGGCAATGGTGTCGTTGATTCTTTTCTGGATAGTGGAGATATGCTGCTCATTGTTCAGGTCGCAGGGAGTTTTCCCAGCAATCTGGATCCCTCCTGGTACAGGCAGAGCCGTCAGGTACACTCCTGTAGCAGACTGAGGAAAGACACACACATAATGGATTGGGCTTCATCACATAGAAATATTTACCTTTTTTTTTATTTGAAAACGTGAACCTACAGCGAGTCCCAGAAGCATGTTTTCTCCAACGCTGATCTGTATGTGCAGACCAAACAGAGCATTCATGCTCCTCAGTTTCAGCTTGTTCATCAGCTGAGTGTGCAGCTCATATTCCATGAAAGGAAGCAAGTTGGAGATGGCCGTGGCATTCACTTCTCCCTGAGCTTTCTTCTTCAGACGACACAGTCTGCAAGACAAAAATCACTGACGGTTAAGGTGGATATTCCTTACAGATCAATAATAGTTATGGTTGGTGTTACTCACCTAAACACACTTTATAAATGACTGAGCTGAGACAAATAAAATAGGAGCTTACTCCTGTGAGGTAAACGTTTAGCCATCAAAGAGGTATTCGATAAATTGGGTGAAAAGGCATTTAGCTTACTTTAAAGCAATTAATACTTTTTTTAAAAATACGTTACAAAATCAATAAAGTACATATCAGTGTACTAAGTATTGCTTTTACGATTTTTTATTAATAATTATACCTGATAAATGATGACACTCAATTAGTTCAAACTAATTAGGTTTTGATTTGAAAGCATGTTTATTTTATTCAGTGTGGTGGTTATTTTTTTCCAGTAATGTTTCACGTTCACTTTTACAAAAATGATTTAAGGAAGTCCCAGGAAAGTTAAGTCAGGTCCTCTGGATGGTTTCTTTCTGTTGAAACATTTCGTTTTTCATCCAAAAGACTTCATCAGTCCGAGGAGCCACAACACCTTCACATAGTGGGTCAACCAGTTTGATGGTGCTCAGATGGTTTATTGAGTCCGCCCTCTGCCCGCCGACTCATTTGAGGCAGTCATGGCCAAAGTGGTTCAAAATATTCTGATTCATGCTCAATAATCCAGATAGTTTGTTGGATTTTTCTACCTGGATTATTGAGCATGAATCAGGATAGATTAAAAGAAGTGTTTTTTGAGGTGTATTACCTGGCCTGAATAAGACAGCCTTTTCCTGTGACAGCTGCTTCTGGTGGCAAGTCAATTGTTGTGAAAAGCACATCAGGAACCTTGAATGAAAACAAAAAGATGCATCTGTTTGACCAAGAAAAACTGAAAAGTTGAATACACCATAAACAACTACTGTATTTTCCGCTGTACACGTCACACCGCCCTATAAGTCGCATCAGTCCAAATACGTCTAATAAAATGGAAAAATCCACATGTTGCCTCGTCGTATACGTCGCATCTATTAAGTGTCACCAATGACGTGTCACGTTTGTTATGCGTCAGTGGTGACAACCTGGAAATGTGGGCCGGTGTTGTGCCAAAAAATGATTGACTGCCAAATGGCGGCTGAGGGAGTGTGCACTGGAGAACTTTAACAAGAATTTAACAAGAGTAACACTTAAAAATAATTATTTGTTTGCTCAAAATTATAGCAAAGGTGTGTCTCAGTCTAACTTTTCCTTAATAAATGCACTTTGATGTCCAATCAGCTGCATTTCAAAACCCGATTCACGGAAGTGGGAATGCACAGAGGGACGAGTCTCTGTGCATTTCTTCAAAATTTAACAAGGTAAAACACCTAAAAATAAACATTTGTTTGCTCGAAATTATAATAAAGGTGTGTCTCAGTCTAACTTTTGATTAATAAATGTACTTTGATGGTCAAATCAACTGCATTTCAAAAGCAGATATGCGGAAGTAGGAATGCGCAGAGGGACGAATCGCTGCTCATTTCTTCAAAATTTAACAAGATAAACACCTAAAAACAATTAAAACAATTATTTGTTTGCTTGGCTTTATAGTCAAGGTGTGTCTCAGTTGAACTTTACTTAATAAAAGGACTTTAATGGTCGAATCTGCTGCATTTCAAAAGTATTCTCTGCCTCGGTGCTCCGGGAGCGCGCAGACAGGGAGAAAAAAAGGAAGGAAGAACGCTATGCATTTCTTCAAAATTTAATAAGATAAGTACCTAAAACAATTATGTGTTTGCTCGACATTATAGCAAAGGTGTGTCTCAGATGAACTTTTACTTAATAAATGCACTTTAACAGTCAAATTATCTGCATTTCGCCAGGGCAGCGGAGCAAAATCAAGCTGATTTGACAGTTGCTCCAAGCCAGCTGGATGAAGATGGGAGTGTAAGGCAAGCCGATTGTGTCATTAATAGCCACTTTTACCTATTGCATGCCACAATGGCATGCTATACACTTCTGGTGCCATCTAGTGGCTGAAAAAATGGTAGTGTTCAATATTTTCAGTCAGAATGAATGAAAACCATCATATGTCAGCCAAAAATGGGTTCATAAATATGGGAAAAATCCATAAAAACATTGCTTCGATGTATAAGTCACAGGACATGCAAATTATGCAAAAATACTAGACTTATACAGCAAAAAATACGGTATAATTCTTTTTCTTCACGTGTTGTATTTGCTACCTTTTGCCGTCTGCATTGATAACAATACGCGAGCTGAGCAGGAAATGGCATGTTGAGCTCATCATATGGAATGTGACAGAAGCCACAGGTTGGGGGTGATGGTTCCTCAAACCTGCAAAAGAACCCAAACCACATGATACCAGCTTCTGAGATGGCACAGTCTTCATCAAACACATACAAGAACTAAAGTCAACCTGTGGTCGGTGCTTCCAAAGTCCAGGCATCCCTCACGCATGTACCGAGGATTGAGGATGGCTGCTGTGCCTGAAGCTGACAGAATACACACCTCTTCACTGTGTTGAGGAGAGGCCAAGAGATCAAAAGAAAAAAGGGGAAATATACGAGAGAAGAACTCTAAAAACTACAGCCTTAATGCAAACCGTAGACTTTTTAAAAAGTACATAGTTTTTCTAATGTCATGCATTTTGTGCTACATACCAGATGCTTGTGTTCTCACTGTACCCTACAACAGCATGACATCCTAGAGCTTTGGCATGTGATTTGATTTCTTGGCGAATTTCCTCCCACCAGGCATCACGAGTCTCTGGTTCATCTACAAAACACAACATTGTGAATTAAATAAATAAATATATTTTCTAAATTGGTTGATTATTTACAAACTTAATGGTACACTGGGGTCTAGATAATAAGTTAGACTAAATAAAGAGTCCAAAAAGACTGCACATACAACTTCACACTTACTCCTTTAACTTGCAAAAAGTATACACCCAGCAGTACTTTTTGGGGGGAACGATTTATGAGTTAAGCCCCCAGTATACTCCCGGTACGTCCATAAGCAGAGGTATGCACGTACGTACATGGAGGTACGAGCGTACCCCCCAGGGCATGTCCGCGCAAAGCTCAATTTTTACGACCGCATACGTGTACGCGGTGTCGCACAATAAACTGCCCAGCGACAGACTGTTTTGTATGCAACACCAATGTATTAAATTCCCCTTCTTCATCTCTGATCTGGTCTTTTCTTTTGTTTTTTTTGCCAAGAGGCAGTGATCTCTTCCTCCTCCGTTGATGCCATGACTGAAATGGTGAGAAATGAAGGAATTTGTCACGAGCGAATTAAACTCAGGTCTAGCATGGCTGTGGGAGGGTCTGGAGATTTCCTGGTGGGCTGGTTTGATGTGTGGGCTGCAGAGCCAGCACTCCTTTTTATATGTATATTTTTAGATCTTTTTATTAACAACATATAAACACAGAACACCGCTGCGGCTGAGGCTGCCAGCGCTTGTTTTTTTTTTTGTTTTTTCCGACCTGTCAATCAATCCAGTAGGCGTGTCAGCAAATGACCAATCGGCGACCTCAATTTGTCCTGAAGGTAAAAGTCCCATGTCTGTGAAGCTGCTCTGCAGCTGCTCAGGGTGTACGCTAGAGTACGAAGTCTGAACCCTCTGCGTACAGTACACGTGTACGTACGCGTGAACGGACGTACGCGGCAGTATACTGGGGGCTTTAAATAATGTATCAATTCAAAGCAAGCAAAAACAGATTGTCATTTTGTAAAACAAAGTGACACAGAATGATTAATGATAATTAGAGGATGATGAAGGTAATAGAAGAGATTAGATAAGAAGTCAGTCTCAAACTTGGAAATTCACACATATGTGGCTGTGAAGGCACTGAAAGACAACATGCCAGCTGAAAAAGAAGTAAAAAAGGGTGCCTGAAATGTACTGAAGTTTCCCTTTGACAAGCGTATTACATTGAAATGGATTAAAACTTGAGATTTCAATAGTCTCATAAAGCTTTGCTCCAAAGACCTCTGTGTTTGTGACCGTTTTAAAGAATCTAAATGCTACAAGTCGAGAAACTGAACTAACATATACGATTAGTCAACAAAGAGAACATAAAGGGACCTATGAGTACTGAGCTGCACCCCATTACTCCCTAGGAAGGCAACATGCTGTCAGAGCCCCAAAAGAAAGTGGAACTGAACTGCTCAAGGAATAAAAGGGAAAAGAACGAGTGGTCAAACTGAAGAGATGAATGAATGATGGTCAGGCGTCAGGCCCACAGTGTGGGTTATTTTAAACCAACAGCAGCATGTCAGACAGGCACAGGTTCACCATCGTGCACACTCATGACCATGTGCATGTTCATGGCCAGAGAAGGGCCATATTCATTTACTAGAGTCCATCAAATCCAGTTTTTAAATAAGATAATTGTACTACTCGACTTCTTCCATTCCCTGAGCTAAACTCTTTTCCTCCATTCTCATCATACATACCCAGATCCAGTTTTATGTCCTCATTAGCCCCCACACCCCCACCGATCTGCCTCCAAGCTCATCCATCACTCCTCTCTCACTCTCAGTATGAATACGGCCCAGTGAGTCAGGGATGCACATGAATGGCAGGTGGCTCTTTGTCACAGAGTAAACCTACTAAACCTCCTCCGGTCTAGTCAGGTTTGACCACAATGTCGATTCAGGTGTTACAAATAATGCTGGGACAAGGTTAGGGCAGGGCTGCAGCTCTACTGTGTTGCTAGATGAGTCGGGTGCAGTGGAGGACAGCCAAGCCAGGTTGGATGGAGCGGGGTGACGACACAGAGCATGCTCAGCTCAGCAAACATACAGAGAGAGAGGAGGATGGCAGCTCACTGAATTCATCCATCCACTTTAGCTATCAGGCGATTTTGAATTTACTTGAGATTATTTATAGTAGCTTCCCTAAATTGGTTAAATTTCACTGTTTGGTTGTTGCTGAGAGGGCACAACAGTTAACTTCACTGAGCCGCCATCACTCTTGTGGGTGAGAGCAGTAAAAGGGGGGAAAATACCTGCAGTGACACTATTCCAGTCTAGCAGTTTGTATGAGCGCGTGTTACCCAAGGCTGGGCCAGAACACACCGTTAGTACAGAGAAAGAGAGAAAAAGAAAAGGAGAGATAGTCTAACAAACAAGCACAGCACAACAGCGGCACTCCACAGTCACTTTGCAAAGACAAAATACAGTCAGGACGACTAAAACGATCCGAAAGAAGACTGGTGATGAAAGGAGGAGAACAGAGATGTTACAACGAATAAAGACCCACTAAAATTTGAAGAATGAAGGATAAGAGACGCTATAAATGAAACAGATGCATGCAGTCTAGTCAAAGCTACTTTCTACACCTAAACTTTTTATGTAAACAAACTAGGGATGCATGATATTATCGGCATGGTATCAGCCGATATTAGCGTTAAAAGTTAAATATCAGACATCGGCAATTCTATCAAAATAACTCACAGATATAAAAGACGCCGTTTCTGTATGACAACCCAGTGACAAGAATGCCTGCAGTGGCAGCACAACGTGATGATGTCACACGCGCCTACCTGATCTGATCATAGCGGAGAGGAAGAGGTCAAAATGTTGGCGGTGTGGAAGGTTTTTATCTTTGATAATATTTGCTTCCGAAGATTTTTGGACTATGTTGAGCCTCACTACAGCATTCCCAGTCAGATATTTTCCGATGTAGCCTTACCCGAGTTACAAGCCGTAATTTCAGACGTCATTGAGAAGCTAATAGCCGATAGCATTTGGGTGAGTTTTACCACAAACATTTGGACGTCAAGTGTTAGCCCCGTTAGCATGATTAGTCTTACGGCACAATAGAAAGACAAAAACTTGTTTGAAAATAAAAAGGCTGTCCTTCATGCACAAGAGTGCAGAGGATCCCTCACTGCAGCTAGGAACCTGGAACAAGCCTCCACAAGTGAGTCAGCATTGCAAGTGACTAAGACTAATAAATAATATTTAACACTTTTCATTTAACAGAAATTAAAGTGCTATGCATATCATATAGCTGTTACTGAATAGATATCACCAGCTCTTACAGCTGTTGCACAATTTTTGTAGCAAATAAGCCTAAATAAGAGGGCTATGTTCTGACAAAGGAAAGTATATTAAAAATATTGGTATTGGCCAAATAAGTTTTAACATATCGGCATATCAGATATCGACCAAAAATCCAATATTGTGCATCCCTAAAACAAACATGGATACATAACGCAAAATGTGTAAAGCCACCGTTTGCAAAGCTCTTATTATTACATCCTCCAAAGAGGAGAAAAATAAACACTATAATGATGCACAAGAATGATGGCAGCTCTACCATATAATGGAGGAAAATACACAAGTTCAATATTGGTGTTCAGAAAATCTAATGGGTTTTGACTCTTTACACTGTCATAAATTATCAATTTAAAGGCACAGATCTAAAATCTAAAAAATATGTTTGATTACCAAGTAAAACTATTCATTCTGTTAAAATAAGGAATAAAATAATGTTGGAAAAGTGTGAGATACTGAGAGTCTGAAGCCCTCAGCTCTTTGCCTCATAAATCCTTTGCTTTAATACAAATGTCTTTTTTGTAAAAGTATTTTGTGTTCATTGAGACAAATTCAAATGTTTTTATTTAGTGAATTTAAATTAAAATGATAAATGATAAAAGGTTTTCTCAGCAGTGTATTATCTGCGGTTCAATCAAAACAAACAGCCATTTAAAACATATTATGTTAATTTAAGTTAAATATAAAAGATCGTAAAATAATTTAGGTTCTATATTACCTATTTTTTATTTCCCAAAGCAGATATTCAGATTTTCTGTATCAGTAGTGAAATACCTAATTTCCTTAGGTTCTGTTACTGGCTTTATAACAATATTATTGTCTTAACATTTTTAAATCAATGCTTTCAGCCAACGTTCCCATTTTAAATCAGTGGAAATGGTATGAAATATTCAGAATATGCACTGTATTCTCTGCATGACTGTACAAGCAACTTCAATATTGTTGCTTGGTGCAACTTATAGTTTAAAACATCACAAGATATCTAGTAAGTAAGTAAAACTTCATTTATATAGCACTTCTCAAGATAAAAGTCACAAAGTGCTTCAACAAACAAAATACATGCACAAAAAATGTAAGCAAAAGCAGATTTAAAAATATACATTTTAGCTGGTCTTTAAAAGAAGCCACTGAGTCTGCTGATCGGAGAGTTTGAGGAAGTGAGTTCCAGAGACTTGGAGCCACAGAATAAAAGTCTCCTTTAGTTTTCTGTTTTGTCTGGGGGACGATCAGCAGGTCTTGATCACAGGACCTCAAAGCCCTGATGGGGGTGTAGAAATGTAAAAGATATCTTTAATGACACTGAAGCTGAACAACATATGCTGGGAACTTTTCAGTCTAGTTTCATGTTTAGTAAATATTTATTTATCATAACCAAGTTTGAATAGGTTTAACCAAAGCTCACGGTATTAGCTTTATGATCTTTATTTATGAAAACAGTCCTGCACAGCACACGCTTATTTAGACTCCTGAAGGACAAACTTGACCACATTTGCTCACTCTGGTGCCGTCTTTACTCGCTCTACTCTCCATGAAGGTATTTTTTATTTATTTATGGCATTAATTTATATTTTTGTTGGTCTTTCTTCCTATAGAAACTAGACCTGAACCAGTCATTTTATGTTTGTCTGTCCCTTTTTGTCCTCTATAATCCCAGTTAGTTGAGGAAGGTGGGTGCCCCATCCTGAACTCAATTCTGCTGGAGGTTCCTTGTTAAAAGAGAGTGATTCCTTCCCAGTCGCCAATGTGTTGCTCAGGATAGGAGATTGTGACCAAGTGAAGATTCAACACAATCTGCTTGCTCCATAGGCAGACAACCTCTTTTAAATTGCATTTTATAATGTATGTGAATGTTTTATGTAACATAAATGTTGTGAATTGGCACAATATGAATAAACTGAATTAAATTCAACTGAATGCATGTGCAGCTCATTTTCCCTAAATTAAAAGTTTTAGATTCAGTGTTGTCCAAAATGAACAGGTGAAGGTTTGTTATCAATCCATTTCTATTCAGAAATGAATTCTATTCTATTATTTTTGCAGGTCTCTCTTGTAAATGAGTCCCCGAGGTTCAATGGGATTAACCTGTATAAATAAAGGTTGAATGAATTTCTCTATAAGTATATTCTTGTATGTGTAGTGTTGTTCATCTAATGTTGGTTAAGTAATTTTTTAGTGTAGAACTTTGAATTTAATGTGTGCTTTTTAAAATTTTATTGTGACTGTATGTAAATGAAAAGATGAAAGCATTGATAATGGAGTTCAACACCTGTACAGGGCCTATTTAAACACTAAAGATGAGAAAGAATACAGAAGATGGCACGACTTCACCATACTGCCACCTGCAGCCAACACCACCAGGCAACAGACTGCAGCCATGCACCACTAATGGACTGTATACAACCCCCACCACACAATACAGCAAATAAAACAAGCACATACACACATCCCCTGACCAGAGAAACGCATATAAAGCAAATCAAAACATGAGGTGAAAGTTGCCCCAGTCCATAATGTATGATATTAATATCTAATAAAAATGTTCATACATCAATTCAGGAGCAGCTTTCACCTGCTTCAGGGCTTGTACATCTTTTTCTTTCATCATCGTTGTCCTCTAATCAGTCTAACAGATCTAAACAAAAACCATACAAAGGGAAACTGCAACACAAGAGGATCATGGGCAGCACTGACTGTCAGCCTGTTTTAACACCACCAGACACTCACATGACACACTGTCAGTGGAGGAGCGCAGTCATATCCTTCCACAGGACAACAGACGAGCTACAATCAGTCTCTGTGCTTCCAAGTACGTTGAACTCACCGGGGTTATGGATGCGGTCCAGTAGTTTGACAGAACGAGCACTGACCACTCCACCAACATGAACCAGAAAACCAGGTGGAAAGGAGGTCAAGGTGAAGAAGGGAAACTCCTGCCGACAGAAAACAGCTCGGTCATGTTTATGAAAAAACACAGAGACCTTTTCAAGATAATTCGCTAATCATATTTAACAAGATCTTCTGAATTATAAAGTAAGCTCCATGGTTTCAAGTTTCATGGTCATTTTTGGGACCGCTTGTCTGTTTAGAATGTAAACAAATCAAGAATGACATCTGCTAAGTATCTAAACCCCACATCTAATTAAAATATAACAAGAACATTTAACATCAGGCAAAGCATTAGAAAATAATTTTTCATTATGATTAAATTAAAATCTGATGATGTGAGAATTACTGATAAAGTGTACTCCACAAACTATTATTAGAAAAATAGTTTGATGTTGCATTCACAAATAAAAGTTTACACCCTAACATACAAAGATAGAAGTGTAAACAAAAAAAAAGATCCTGAAGGATTTTTATGCCTTTTCAAAATAAACTGAGACAAAGCAGCAATATCCTGCAGTTCAACAAATGAATATTTGAAAATCAAAAACAAAGAATGTACAGAAATAAATGAGATTTAAAACACAAAACAAAAACAGTCGGAACGTACCGGTATTAAAACAGCTTAGATAATTACTACTTTTAAAAACTTAGGCTTCCTCAGTGCAACATGACGGTAAACCCACACCTCCATTTACTATTATGTTTGTTGGCATCACATTTAAAATGAGTACACATTTTAAATGTGATGCCACTCACTGTGTTGCACTTTCATTTATACTAATCACAGCCTACCAGCAATGCTGGAAACGGAACTGTACGCGTTGTGCGTCGACTTGCATGACAATAGTGCTGGATTGATTGTGACCTGCTCTTCTCCCTTTAGTCAAACAGGACACAAATCTGTACATTCATATGCAAAAGAAGCTAAAAATAAACTGCGGGTTGGTGCCAGTTCCCAACAAAACAGAAGGGAAGTTGTGATTTCCAACTGTGCAGACCTTAATATGACATGAATGGTTTCTAGAAGCGGACACCAGGCAGGCTTAACGTAAATTTTCTTATTAACAAATTCAACTAAAAATCTCAGCGAGAAGACGAGTCAAGTGATGAGACTAGGGTTGCCATTCCTGTAGCTGACAGGAAACCAAAAGCAACACAGGAGAAGCAGTCAGAAGTGTGAAAGGTGTTCAACACGAGTTCCTACAAGATGCACACTCACACAACCACCAACCCACCCACACACACACCCACACACACACACACACACCCCTTCATATTTGAAAAGAACACAACTCTTAGCTTCTGGCCTTTTCACCAACATGCTTGTATCTTTATCAAGCTGCCATGGGTGCAGAATGAACAAACTGCCATGTTGCTCAACCCACAACTACCCTTCTGAGATCTACAACCAGCAGAGGAAGGTCAGGTCATGAGTTTACTGAGATTAGGTGGTGGTCATCAGTTTGGTAAAAGTCCTGCAAGGCGTTAAACAATATGTTAAACAATCAGAGGAGGATGCTCCCTGAATAGCACAACAGGTCAAAAAGGACAGAAAAGGGAATGTTATTTGGTCTTAGTTAGACCCATACCCACTTGCACCTTCTCAGTACAAATGAAAAAACTTCCACCCAGACTGTAGTTGTGTAAAAACATAAAGTGACCTGACACTCAGACATATCAAGCAGATTTGCAAAACAAATTGAAACATGTCTCCGTGATGGACTTGCGACATGTCCAGGGTGTGTCCCCCGCCTCTCGTACAGTGGTGGCTGGATATGGACACCAGTGACCCCCGCAACCCGAAAAGGAAGAAGCGGGTAAAGATGATGGATGGAAGGTAGAGTTGCGATTTCTGACACGAGCCCGTGCCTGACTCGACATTCGACCCAAAATTCGGGCCGGGTCGGGCCAAAATTATGTGCTTGATGGGCGGACTGGGTTGGTCTTGGGCTTTTGATGCAGTTTTACAAATCATACAGCACAAAGAAAATTACATAAAAAAGCACAATATAAAATTGTGTTAATCTACTAGTAAAGCAGGAGGCGGTAAGTTTACTGCTGAGGATGAGGAAAGAAAAAAAAAAGAGTGCAGAAGTTAATCAGACTGTGAAAAGAGAGTAGTGCTGGCGCATTGCGCAACAATTGTGCGTGTGACCCCGCCTGCCCTTTGCTTTTATCACAAGCGATATAATGGAGCTGGAAAGTATTAAACAAAATCTAAAAACACGAGAACTCACTCTACAAAGCCAGCACAGTGAAACCTGCTAATATGTGTCAGGTGCACACTCAGGTCCGACCGGCTGGTTGAAAGAGGTAAAAAACAAAAAAAAAGTCCCGTTAAGCTTCAGATGGACAACCGGATCATCAGCCGCGCGCGTCCCGCTCCACACCCTGCTATCATCTGCGGTGAAGGAAGTAGCAGCACCTGAAGCTACAAAAGCTGAAGTGAGCAGCGCGTTCAATTAAAATAGCTTTGTTCTCATCCATCCATCCATTTTCTTTACCCGTTTATTCCATTTTGGGTCACGGGGGTCGCTGGTGCCCATGTCCAGCAATCACTGTGCGAGGGGCGGGGTACACCCTGGACGGGTCGCAAGTCCATCACAGGGACACATAGAGACAAACGAGACAAACAGCCATTCACTCTCTCACTCACACCTAGGGACAATTTAGAGTTACCAATCAGCCTAACATGCATGTTTTTGGTCTGTGGGAGGAAACCGGAGCACCCGGAGAAAACCCACGCATGCACGGAGAGAACATGCAAACTCCACCCAGAAAGGCCCCTGGACCGGGGTTTGAACCAAGGACCTTCTCGCTGAGAGGCAATAGCTTTGTTCTATTTTTTCAAAATAATTTTGCTCTAAAATTATTTTTGTTCATCTGTATAATAGTTTATCTTTAGAGTTGAATTTTTTATGCTATTAGTTTTGTTAATATAGATTTGGTGACTTGTTAATAAACAGAAATCATATCTTCCTTTCATAGAAATACGTTTTTAAAACTATCATGTCAAACTGATTTGCTTACACAAGCAGTAAAAGCTTAGATAAAAACACAAGTTTTTTTCGGGTTCGGGCCTCTAATTACAGTTAATTAGTCAGGCGGGATGGGCTCGGAGAAAATGCCTATGGGCTCGGGTCGGATCTTTTAGGCCCGAATGCAACTCTAATGGATGGATGGAAATTGAAACATCAGCAGTTCAAAAGGTCATGCAGAGATATACAAAACAGTTCAGGTTCAAATGCCTCCACAAGGCAGGGTTGGGCAGTGTCCAATTTATTTTACACTTCCTCATATTACAAGCTGAATATAGGATATCTGACATCTGCCTAGACATGTCTGACATTTTGTCTTCATACAGCATATAATGCTACAGCTTAGGACTTCTAATAAATGCTTAATCTTCATTTCTTAGAAGAGTTTAAATATTGTGGTCACTTGTTCATAAGTGATGGTAGTACATGATGGCGTTCTTCCAGTCTGTTGTTTGTTTTTTATGTATGGGAAGGCTGAGACCAATCGTTAGTATCGGTGCAGCCACTGGCCAAAATACAACACCATTTTTTCCTCACAAATATGCATTTTCCATTTAACAACAATATAATTGCTTTACTTGCATAAATATGTATTAAACAAGATTTATCAAAACTTGGACATTTAAAATGTATTAGTAGAAGAGCCTTCTTGCTTCAAAAAACTAAAATGAGCAGGTTGTAGCAGCTGCACATTCATCTTTCTCTTTGGTAATCAGTTAAATACCTGCAGGCATGGCTGACTGACATTGTTTACCCCCAAGTGGCAAATAATTTAATTGGTCTGCCTCTAATTTTAACCCTCACCAGCAGGAGGGACTACATATCGTCTCTGGCCCAGGAATGCATTGGGATCAGAGCTAGAAATTTTTACTGGGGTGTGAGATGCTTTTCTCCTTGACCTGCCATCTCTGTGACCCAACCAAGGATAAGTGATTAAAAATATATAGATGGATTTCTTGGATTAAGAGTAAAATAAACTGTGATTTTTTTTTTTTACTGTATAGCATCACATGGAAAAATAAATACATAAGTGTTGGAACAAAACTGTTAAAAATATTACAGACTCAAGATCTCATGTATAAAATGCTTTGTGAGAAATACCAAATTACAATAAGATTGTCCACCTTTTGGGGTTTTAATTTGCACATCTTTCTTCTCTTCCATTTCCGCTTTAACAACTAAGTCAATATTATAAATAATATTAACATTATAATATTTTTGTTATTTTTGGTTGTAACTAGGACCTTGAGTACACAATTTCATTCCACCACATGTATCACATGTATCACATGTGGTGGAATGACAATAAAGAAGCTTGAACTTGAATATGGCAAAAGGATGCTTAGAGAACAAAGATACTTGTTTAGGTGGCATTTGCTTCTAATTTACAGAAGCTGTCATCTGCAGACATTTTCTAATCATTTCACTCAGTGAACAAATTACATAGTAAAGTTTGTAATGAACACTTTTCTAGCTATACTGATGTTACTTTTGGAAAGGAAGACAGTACATGTAGATAGATGTGTGAGGAAGTGTGAGCGTTCAGTGTTGTCGTACCCTCTGCTCCAGAGCCGTCTGTGTCTGTTGTCTGAGCAGCGTCTTCAAGGGCCCCGCCTCCTTCCCTGCGCTGCCCCCACTGCCCATTCCTGATCACAGAACAGAAACTGCTTTCAATTAAACTGAGACAGTAAATGAAGGAAAAGACAGCAGATAAAAAAAAAACACTGAGGCATTAATAATTTTACGACATGTTAAGTGAACGTAATTTTTGAACCATAACTCAAAAGTTGTTAATAAACCTGCTCCATCCTCATCCTTAGGCTAGCTAATTCTAACCATTCTTCTAGTCTCAAAACACATGCTAGCATGGGAAAGTCCACAAAAGGATTTAGCCGATAGTATTGCTTGACATTGTGTTCTGAGCAGTTTTACCAGGCACGCTGAGTTATTATTTCTAATAACACCATGCAGGAGGACCTGGGTGTGAATAGTTCTGCTGTTGATCAAGAGAGGCGCCACAACCCTTCACTCATATAAGATTCTGTTACTCGATGGCACACAGCAGTCCTACTATACCGGAGGCTGCCAGCAGCAGGTTCTCGGTGAAGAACACGCTCTTTCTCAGCAAGGCAGAGTCTGAGCGGGTGGAGGAAGGAGGGGGTGGGGTGGTCGCTCTGGGGGCAGAGCCGTGACCACAGCCTGCTAGGCCCGAACCAGGAAGGGACAGAGTGTCTGTCGAGAGGATGGGGGAGCTGGGGCAAAGGAAGATCCCCGGCCTGCGTCTCAGTGACTGGGGGTCCTCTGTCCAGCAGAGAAACAGATGGAAGGTGCACAGAGAAAAACAGATACAGTGAGAATGGACAGAGCACAGAACAATGAGGGGGAGGGCAGACGCACAACAACAGAGGGGGGCAACAAGAACAAGTCAAACACAAGCAAAGAAAAAGATGAAACATGCAAAGTGGGGATGCCCCAGTTATTCTATATGGGACGACTTATAAATGTTTACAGTCAAAGTAATGTTTGTTAACTAAACTCCTAAAATGATTGAAAAGCTTCATATTCTAACATGACTGTGTACTAATGATCCCAATAAGATATTTCAGTAAACTCTACAACTTTCTCACATTTGAGTAAGATACTGTTTTATATTTATTACTTCTACAATAAAGGCTCTCAAAGTTAAAGTAATAGCAATGAGAGTATCAAAGATAACACAGTTCATGCCTAATCAATATCATTGGTTCAGCCCAAAAATATTTGGAATTGCATTAAAGTAGTATTTTTGTACAGTATTTTTAGGTTTTAAGTTCAATCAGCTTGAGTTTGAAGAAATTCACACAGATCTGACAGCCCTTTATAAAATGCTATTCTTGGCCAAGTGTTTAAATTCCAATGTGCACATGACTCTGAAAGTGTGCTAGTTATAATCTTATTTTCTAATTTGCTTGATGTAATTTTTAAAAATAACTAATTTTTAAGCTAATAAAACAAAAAGGATTGGACTTCTTCAGAAACCAGCTAAATTGGATTAACAAAGCATCTTTTTTTAAGTTTACTTGACCTTTAGAAAAGATCCACTTATTAAAGTCCAAATAAAGAGGACACCAAGTAAAAAAAATACCAAACTCAATTTTTCATTAAGTCCTCAGAAGAAAAGCTCAACTACATTTTGTCAGAAACGTTTCACAAAAACAGCTTAGTTCTGATTGAGCTTTATTTGGAAACAAATATCAACCTGCCATAAAAACACAGGATTATGACCTGAATTATAATCTGCAAAACATATGGAGGCAAAGTGATGTATGAACATACAATATGTGACTTCTAGTAACGCTGAGTCTGAGTTGGAAGCATCTGGGTGATGTTTTAAGGTGCGTAAGAATATACTGCTGGTTTAAATTCAGCCAAAACCCACAACTGGACAGCAGTTCACTGTAAAGATGTGAACAAAGAACCTAGAATATACTGAGGGATGTTTTTGAAGAAAAAACATAGAACAGTCTCTAGATAGCTCTACATCTCAACCCGATTGTGATGCATTTCACTTTCTGAAAACAAAATTAAAGTCTGAAAGATCCACAAATGAACAAACACTGAGGCAGTGCTTAAAAGATGCATCATCCTTCAGCTGTTCAACTACTGAACGATAAGTAATCGCTTTATTGAAATCACCTTATTTGTGTAAATAAACATTGTTTATGACTGTTAAACTATTACATATGGCATTTGTTTAGTAGAGTAAAAAAAAAAAGTACCAAATTCTGCTTTTTGCAGCTGCTAATACAGTGCCTAAAGATTTTGAATGCTCTTTGTGTCTACAAAAAACCAGTTTGTTCCTTGAGTTAAATGTATTTTGTGCCTGATTGATTTAAATTAAACTATTGTAAAAACTAAACATATTTTAAAAGAGTTGGTTACATGAGCTAAACAGAAAAAAAGCCCAAAAAAGGACCAAAAATAAGAAACTTAGAAAGCCTGGAGAACAACGGATCAAAACCATTTCTAAATAAGTCAGTCTCTTTAAAAGGCAAACCATTAACAAATTGGGTGCATTTAAAGAATTGTATAAAGTGATGTTTAGTTAAATACCTAATATAACAAATATTGAGGGTATCCAATTATTTCTGGGCCTTACTTTATATTATATAAAAAAAGGAGAAATGGGGACAAAGACAAACAGGTGATGAGAAAGAGGAAGAAAAATACTGGAAAAGTGAAAGGATGAGGAATGATGGTTGAGAGACTGCTGACTCAGCCTTAAAACATCTGGAGGCAGCTGTAGTAAAAGGCTTCTCTGGCCTAAATGGAACAGAGAATATAAGCTTATAACTTAGTGAATAATATGGGTTCAACGTAAAAGTGACCTTAGAGTGACAACAGCCTCCTCTTGAGACACAATGCTTCTGTCACCAAAAAATAAAAAAGGAAGCGGCAACATAGAGATCTGGTGCGTCTCAATATTACAAAGCCCATTTTATATTTTTGTTGTTTTCTTTAATTGTGTAAAAGAAAAAAGACACACCAGGCCACTGGAGACAAGTGGGATGCAGGGAATGGCTACATAAAGACAAAACATTATTCTCAACTAAATAAAAAAGTCAAGCCTTTAAAAATGAAATAAATTAATTCATAAACAAACTACATGAAAAAAAAAACATAGTAGCACCATAAGATGTGGTTAGGAGTAAGGAGGGTTGAGAATGGGCGAGAGGGATGGGCAGTTCTCTTACCCGTCTTAGGCGTCAAACTGAGGTCTGTGTCTGATGACGAGGACTGGCGGCTGCATGGCTTGAAGGGAGAGAAGGGGGGAGGAGAGGAAGAGGAAGTGGGGAGGGATCTGAAAGGGGTAGGCGGGCCGGAGGACAAGGGCAAATCCTCACCAAATACCGGCCTGCCAGGAGAACATGACACACACACGCACGTCAATCACCGCCTCACCCTCTGAGCATCTGTGCGTGTGCATATGCGCAATGTTGCTCCTAAATGGGAAGGTGACTTTTTAATGTGTGACATGTTTGCTTTGGGTGTGTTGTGTTTAATGTGCAATGGATGGGTGGGAAAACTAAAAGGCAAGCATGGGAAGCAAAGATGCCCACAAGAGTTTAAAAGCAAAGTGAAAAAACACAAAAAGGTCAAACTCAACAGAAGATGACAAGCTGAAGCATGTGTCCCATCAGAGAGAAGCAAAGGTCAATTGGATGCAGAGAAACTGCAGAAAGGGGTAATGATGCAACTGGGAACCTGATTGTCCATCATTTATTAACTGGAGAAAGTCTAATGGCAGCATTTAGTATTTTCTCCAAGGATTGTGCCTTCCTTCTTGGAAATGATCTACAAAATCAAAGTATCTGTACTCCCAACAATAAACTCTCCCTTCTCACCTTCTGCTAACGCACCACCATAATGTCTTTGTGTTTCAGAATTTGTACAGATTTTATGAACTGAGCTCCTTCCCTGCCTCTGCGTACCAGTGAAGATGAGTGTGGGAACAGAGACAGAGAAGTTCTGGGACAGTCTCTGGGAGCTGCAGGCTGAATGCACTGGGCTGTTGTGGGTGGAGCGACATCCATGGGTAAGGGGTGACCTGGGTCGATCAGCACACACAAAGAGAGAGAGAAGACGCAGGAGCGGTTTGGACATAAGTGAGAAATGTCCCGATCCGAATGTTGGCAGAGAGGAAGAAAGAGATGCACACAAAAACAACACAACATTGCAGTAGAGTGGGAGAAAAAGAGGCAAACAAGAAAATGAAAAGCAAAAAGTGAGCTCATTTTTGCGCCCACTTTTTGCCCAGTTATTTCATTTAAAGTCATGTAAAGGCAACAGGAAAATCATGTGCAGAGCTCAGCGACACAAAACAGGGATGAAAACAACGAAAAGGTCCAAGTTATCTTTGAAATCGATAACCATGGGCAGCACTTCAGGGAAGTAACACCAATACTGTGATTTTGGTTTCATGTATTGATTATGTTGATTTGCATCTGTGGAAAATACAGAAGGTAAAAAAAAATAAACAAATAAAAAGAGACACAGGCAGTGACACCGTTCAAGCTTTATACTATAAACAAAAATCTATTATTTTGCTATTACTTTTTAGCACTTGTTAAAATAATATTAATCTTACTAATTAAATTGTATTGAGCCAGAATTGATCAAATTACACTCAAAATGATTAAGCTAAATTTATTACTGGAAAAAGGGACAGTTTTGTTTGGGCGGTGGGAGGTCACTTTTGTTTCGTCAATTTCTTGTAAAGGATTTAAAAGGAGTTTAAAAGTTAATAATAATAATTGTTATTATTAGTAGTATTTATTGTTATTGTTGGATCTTCAAAAATAATCTTTTTTGGATTTAGGTCTAAAATTGTGTTTTCTATTAATTTTCCCGCATACGTTAACTAAATTATCTTTAAGTTGCTACAATTTTTTTCTTTTGCAAAAGTTTTACAGTTTGATTGAAGGTGAGCATAATCTATTATGCGCATAATGAAATGAACATAATTTATTTTAATTTCCCCGCTATTAATAGAAAAAACTAAAACTGCAGCTAAATTTGCACATGAAGGTAGAACAAGTACAGAGGAAAGAGGAAGGTGCTACGAATACAACGACCAAATGTGTGTGTCTATATCTCTATATCTATATCTATATATATATATATATATATATATATATATATATATCTTTCTATATCTATCTATATATACAGTGGGGAGAACAAGTATTTGATAGACTGTTGTTGATTTTTCAGGTTTTCCCACTTGCAAAGCTTGTAGATGACTGTAATTTTTTATCATAGGTACTCTTCAACTGTGAGTGATGGAATCTAAAACAAAAATCCAGAAAAATACAATGTATGATTTGTAAATAATTAATTTCCATTTTATTGTGTGAAATAAGTATTTGATCATCTATCAACCAGTAAGAATTTTGGCTCTCACAGACATGTTAGTTCTTCTTTAAGAAGCCCTCCTGTTCTCCACCCATTACCTGTATTAACTGCACCTGTTTGGACTCGTGACCTGTATAAAAGACACCTGTCCACACACTCAATCAATCAGACTCCAGCATCTCCACAATGCCCAAGACCAGAGAGCTGTGTAAGGACATCAGGGATAAAATTGTAGACCTGCACAAGGCTGGGATGGGCTACAGGACAATAGGCAAGCAGCTTGGTGAGAAGGCAACAACAGTTGGTGCAATTATTAGAAAATGGAAGAAATACAAAATAACGGAAAATCTCCCTCGGTCTGGGGCGCCATGCAAGATCTCACCTCGTGGAGCATCAATGATCCTCTTGAGGAAGGTGAGGAATGAGCCCAGAACTACAAGACAGGACCTGGTCAATGACCTGAATAGAGCTGGGACCACAGTCTCAAAGAAAACAATTAGTAACACTCCACGCCGTCAAAGATTAAAATCCTGCAGTGCACGCAAGGTGCCCTTCCTCAAGCCATCGCATGTCAAAGCCCGTCTGAAGTTTGCAAATGACCATCTGCATGATTCAGAGGAGGAATGGGAGAAGGTCATGTGGTCTGATGAGACAAAAATAGAACTTTTTGGTTTAAACTCCACTTGTCATGTTTGGAGGAAGAAGAATGATGAGTACAACCCCAAGAACACCATCCCAACCGTGAAGCATGGCGGTGGAAACATCATTCTTTGGGGATGCTTTTCTGCAAAGGGGACAGGACGACTGCACCATATTGTGGGAAGGATGGATGGGACCATGTATCGTGAGATTTTGGCCAACAACCTCCTTCCCTCAGTAAGAGCACTGAAGATGGGTCGTGGCTGGGTCTTCCAGCATGATAACGACCCAAAACACACAGCCAGGGCAACTAAAGAGTGGCTCCGTAGGAAACATCTTAAGGTCCTGGAGTGGCCTAGCCAGTCTCCAGACCTGAATCCCATAGAAAATCTTTGGAGGGAGCTTAAAGTCCGTGTGGCCCAGCGACAGCCCCGAAACCTGAAGGCTCTGGAGGAGATCTGTATGGAGGAGTGGGCCAAAATCCCTGCTGCAGTGTGTGCAAACCTGGTCAAGAACTACAGGAAACGTCTGATCTCTGTAATTGCAAACAAAGGTTTCTGTACCAAATATTAAGTTTCATTTTTCTGGTGTATCAAATACTTATTTCACACAATAAAATGGAAATTAATTATTTACAAATCATACATTGTATTTTTCTGGATTTTTGTTTTAGATTCCATCACTCACAGTTGAAGAGTACCTATGATAAAAATTACAGTCATCTACAAGCTTTGCAAGTGGGAAAACCTGAAAAATCAACAGTCTATCAAATACTTGTTCTCCCCACTGTATCTATATCTATCTATATACAGGTCCTTCAAAAAAAAAATTAGCATATTGTGATAAAGGTCATTATTTTCCATAATGTAATGATAAAAATGAAACTTTCATATATTTCAGATTCATTGCACACCAACTGAAATATTTCAGGTCTTTAATTGTTTTAATACTGATGATTATGGCATACAGCTCATGAAAACCCAAAATGCCTGTCCCAAAAAATTAGCATATTTCATCCCACCAATGAAAGACAAGT